CATGACAGCAGTAAATGAAAACAATCAACAATTGACATCTCTGTTTTTTTCTGAAAAAGTTTGGCAATGCAAGCTCCCATTCTATAAGTGCAGAGAAAACTTTTGCAGAGATGGTTGGGTCAGATGAACCCAAAGAGGAGAGTTAAACTCACAGTAGAAACAGGAGGTAGCAGTGGGGTGGGAATAACCTTTCAAATTATAAACTAGTATCTTTGTAGCTACAGAAGGGGAATAAATGGAACCAAATTGCAGAAGTGCTTTATGCTAACTACAGCAAACATCTTGATGTGCTGCTCGCATTATCATGCAGGCACCTGAATGCTGTGTCTGTCTTCATAGGTCAGTACAGTGCTGTACCACCTCCTCAAGCTACGCAGACAAAGAAGGGCCCTGCCAAGGCTCCTGCAAAAAAGGCTGAGAGCAGTGACTCTTCAGACAGTAGTGATGAGGCAGAGCAGGTGCCCCCAAAGGGAGGAGCAGGTGAGTTGTGAGGAGAGGAGGCTGCAGAGGAAGTACTACGTGGTGCAGAAAATGTTTTGGCAATGTCTTGATTTCCTTGAAAAAGCCGTTTGACTTTGGTCTATGTTCCTATTTGCTTCTCTGAAAGTTTTGAGTAATTTGAAGGTGTCCCAAACAACACTGTGTACAGTCTGTGGATCCAAACTGTGCACAGGTTGGATTGCTTTGCATGTGTTGGTTTGAAAAGTTGTCAGGATCTAGTTTAGCAGGAATAAGCCAGGCCCATTACTGCAGCTGGCCAGGTCCTTGCTTGGCTTCTGATGTGCTGGCTGAATGGCTGGTGCACTGAGGAGTTTTTTTTTCACATCTGGAAAGGTTTGGGTCTTGGGACAAAGGTTTGGTGTGGATGTAGCCTGTTAATTTTGAACTTGCTTTTACAGGCAAAGCAGTAGTATCTAAAACAATCCCTGGCCCCCAAAACAAAACTGTGACTACCAAGAAGGCTGAATGCAATTCTGACAGTGACTCAGGTAATTCAAGGAATAAAGTTTTAGTGGTTTTGTGTTAATTTTTTTTTATTGGCCAGGTTGCTGTATAGTGGTGTATCTGCTAAGATCCTTAGCATAGGAGCTTGAAAGCTTCACAGTCTCCATAGCTAACAAGATGTGAAATCAAAAAACAGCAGCCTGCTATTACAGAGTGGAGTCTGACCATGAGACACCAATGAGACCATTGGCAAGTGCCAAAAGGTCTGCATGTTGCTGCATGGAAAGGGTGGGGCATCACGTGTATCAGGTTTCTCCAGAAATGTTAATGGTTATACTTCTTGAGGATCTGTGTCTTAAGATTTTTGGTTTCTGTTATCCCATTGTGTTGGGGAGAAGTTTCCAAGATAAAAAAACATTATCACCGTACCAAGTTCAAAATAGACTCAAAAGATGCCTTCTCCTAATGTGGCCCTAGGGGCAGTGTGCTTTGTGTCATCTGTTGATCAGGTTTAAGGTTTGCAATGCTGTATTTCCTGTGTAAGTTCCTTATGTGCTACATTCCCCCTCTAAGTTCAAGGTATTCCTGTTGTATATCTCAACATTTCTGGTGCCGTGGCAGGAACTGTGGGTGGCAGCTACCTGTCTTATCTGCAGACAGCTAGCACGAGACTGTGTGACCCTTCAACAAGTGGCCTGAGTTCGGTGTTTTCTGATTTTGTTCCTAGTTTCTCGCAAAGGGACAAGATTTTGACTGCTGTTATTGAAGTGTTTCAGAAATGTTGGAATAGATAGGGCTTAGCATTCCACATTGCTGTAACACACAATACAAAGGCGTATTTGTACACGAGGAGTCTCCAGTCCATCCTCAGACTGCTGCAAAACGCATCTGATGCAGGAAGTAGAAAGCTAAAATGAGATACTGTGCTGTTGCTGCCTCACTTTCCCTGCTTTGTCAATTTTATCTCCTAATTTCTTGCCTGTTTTTTGATCTTTACCACATAGCTTCTGTTCTTGATGTTTCTTATCCCTGAGTTTGTTCTTGGTGATACCTGTGCTTTCTCCAGTCCCTTATTCTGTAGCTCTTCTCCTATGTTATTCTCCAAATACCTGCTTCCTTGTGCATGCATTAGTGAAGATCTTAAACTGCTTGTTTCCACTTCCTCCCAACAAAGAACATACGTGGAAAGGTGGATGCTGTCCCCTGACCATTCAAGTGTTTGTCAGATGATGCTTGTTATCTAGTGGCTCAGCCTTGGGCCACAACCTATTTTGCTTTTCACTTCCCCATGAGTTACATACATGTTATTGCTAAAGTAACTTGCACTAGAAGCTTATTAACTTAACATCCTTTTTTAATATTTAGATTCCAGCTCTGAAGATGCCAAGAAGAAGGTAGGGAGTAAGCTCCCAGCTAAACAACCTGTGATAAAGAATACTTCCAAACCAGCAAAAGTAGCTGTCAAGCCTGGACAAGCAAAGAAGGACTCCAGTTCCTCCTCAGACAGCTCAGGTACTGGGGTAGGAAAAAAATGAGAATTTCCACGTGCATGTTGTGCTTGCTCAGACCTCTGTGTTTCTATGCAGGGTATGAGGGTGTAGTTGGACAGGAATACCCATTGCAGTGTTGTTTCAAGCAGCTAATGAAGTACACTGTGTATCAACATTGAATCTGTGTGTTAGCTTCATGTTGAAGGAATGGGGCTTAGCCTTGATTATTATTTTCCTTTCCACTCTAGATCCTGATAGCTCTGACAAGAAGGCCCCTGTGAAGCCCACAACTAAAGGAGCAACCCCTGCAACAAAGAAGTCACAAGCTGCCACAAAGAAAGCACAAAGTAGCTCCGATTCAGATAGCAGCTCCAGCAGCTCTGAGGATAAGAAGAAGAAAAAAGGCATTCCAGCTAAATTAGTTGGCAGAGTGGGTAAGCCGGTGTCCAAACCTTCTGCCCCAGCTCCCAAAGCAGGCACTTCTGACTCTGATAGCTCGAGCAGTGAAGAAGAAAAGAAACCAGCAGTGAAACCAGCCACCAAATCTACAGGGGCAGCAAAAGCAACTGTGGGGAAGAAGGCAGCTGCTTCTACTAGTAGTAGCACCTCATCTGATAGTTCCAGCGAAGAGGATGAGAAGCCCAAAAAGGCAGGGAAAGGGGCACAGAACAGTTCTAAGACCACTGCCACCACAGAGAAAGCAAAAGCATCCACACCAGTAGCAAACAACCTGAAGTCTAAGCCAGCTGATGGCAGCAGTAGCAGCAGTGAAAGCAGCTCTGAAGAAGAGACTGGAAAAGTCAATGGAGGTATTACCTACAGTCTGGGAGGTGGGTCTGTCAGGCAATGTTACTGAGCTAAGCATTGGATGGAAGCCTTTCCTAAACAATATTCAGTCTAATCTCTGTGTGCTACTAGATTATGCCATCTGGTGCAGTACTGAGAGGGAAGGGCTAGTTTTTAATTTGTTGTGATCCTTTTTGTCTGTATGGCCTATCTGCTGGCAGTGAAATTTGTGGTAACATGAAGTACTTTCCTGAACGGTTGTTGCCAGTTGCCATCTGTGCATGGCCAAGATTGTTGGTGAGAGCAAGGCAGACTGCTGGAGGACTTTGTGTTGAGTGGGACACCATAGATGACGCCCCAATGCACAATCTCAATCTTTATCCCTTCAGGAGAACAACTTTGAATGCCCTAGTGATGTGTGCAAGTGCATACTGTGTGACTCCCAAGAACTGGCAAATTTTAACCAACAGACCTTTCTCAAGTGCACTAAATCATTAATACAGAGGTACCCTATTCCACAAAATTTTCTTCATCCGTTAGGATAGGATGGCAAAATCCTTGCTGATGCATGATGGCTCTTAGTGTCTGTTACAGCAGTCTGTTTTCTGGGTGAGGTAATGCAGGGACTGATTCTCACACCTGTGTCAACACTGGGCTCGCGTTCTGGGGGAGAGATGCCGTTACCTTTCCCAATGCTGCAGTTACTCCCTTTGAAGTTTTACTGCTGTACATCTAACAGGCACAATCGGGAAGAAACAGAAGAGGGAAGGTGTTCAGGAGCCAGAGACACCACACAGTAAAAAGGCAAAGATCAAAGCCAAAACACCACACACAGTTCCCAAGGTGAAACAGGTGAGTGAGGGTGGACTGTGGTGACTGGTGAGAGAGGCATCTCTGCCTCCTGAACAAGTAGGCTTTTGGGGGGGGAGGTTGAGCCCACAGGATTATTTGTATTTTTGCTCCCTCCTTGAGCACTTTAACCTTGTGTGGAGAACCCTAGGGAGTGTACATACATGCATAATATTATTCTGGCAAAGGTTGATAGGATATGCTTGCACAGGAGCATCCCTGAGCTGCCTGATCTGAAGAAGGGAAAGAATTATGAATCTGAGAAACACTTAAAAGTTGAGGTGATGTGAACATGGCTCCATATTTGCAGGGCAAGGAGGGAAGGAGGTTGTCACTAAGGGAGTATTATGCACTTCCTGTACCTTGTTTTCTTTCTCTTTAACAGCCAGCCTCTCCATTCCGCCGCGTAAGGGAAGAAGAGATTGAGCTGGATGCCCGTGTTGCTGATAACTCGTTTGAAGCAAAGGTAGGGCTAGGTAGTGCCCAGAGTGGTAACACTTGGCCTCCACAAATGCCCGTTGGCAGAGCAGCCTTGGTGTGTTTGTGGGCAGTCTTTTTGGTGGGAACTTTTTCCACCAGGAGGTGCTGTTAGGAAGTGTGTGAGCACTGGCAGGAGGTGTGTGGGAGAGCCGTATCAGCTCCAGTGTTAATGCACTGATGTTTGCTGGGTAGGATGAAGTGCAAAGCATTGTCTTTGCTCTCTTGGGTGCTGACTTGAATTTCTTTTTCCTCTCCCCCTGCATCCCTCACAGAAAGGAGCAGCTGGTGACTGGGGTGAGAAGGCTAACAATATCCTGAAATTCACTAAAGGCAAATCTTTCCGCCATGAGAAGACAAAGAAAAAACGAGGCAGCTACCGTGGGGGCACTATATCGACCCAAGTCAATTCTGTCAAGTTTGAAAGTGACTGAGAATGTTCCTTTGAAATTCATAAACCATCTGCTCACCAGAATGGCTCGGATGGGCATGTGGACACTATGGATGTCAAGCCTGCCTGGACTGCTACCTCCCCTAGCTCATTGCGGGGCAGGCAGCTCCAGCGTGGGGATGTGGGCAAATGGTTGGATGTTTCCCCCTTTTATTTCTAATTCTGGTTTAGGCCCCTAATTTGGAACCATCCTTTAGCTGGTGTTATTGGCACCACTAGGGTGATCTCCAAGACTTATATTTTCTATGGTCTTATTTTAAAAGGCTGGCAGTGATTTTTTTCATTTTGGTTTCCTGCCCATCTAGTAGAAGAAGGATAAATCACTTTACTGTATCTTAACCTCCCACTTTTTCAGCCAGTTTAACTGGGATACCTGTGAAATGGCAAGAGTTGTAACGTGCCTTTGGCTAGTTACTGTAAGAGCAACAACTGATTTGAACCCTCTGGCTGTAATCCCCACCCCCATCTGACATTTCAAGTTCACAGTTGCAGTGTGACAGGGTTCCTCTTCTGTTTCCTTCTTTTATGGTTTCACCTTGCAATAAATTCCTACCTTCCTCTTCCTTCCACTCCTGTTGAGGCCATTAACCAGAGTACTTAGAGAAGCAGAGTCTAAATACACCTTAGTAGCTGAGTAGCTGTATTGCTTGCAGTTGCAAGTTGGGGGGCTATTGTCAGAAAGGCCAAGGTCTGCAGTAGTGCTGTGGCACTCTTGGTAACACTTTCATTGGGAATGTAGCTGGAGAGTGGAGATGTGCAGAAGCTCTTGACTGCATGGAGGTTGTGATCTTGGCTCAGTGGGAATGGGTAAGGAGGCAGAGGAGATAAAGCCCTCTTTTCTCCCCAGCTCTGCTTTTTGCTGTGTTTTTGTTTCAGAGGCTCTGACTGCAGTGTGGCATTACTGCTTGTTCTCTCTGAACATAAAACATGCCAGCTTATGCTTACTCCCAGCAATGTGCTGTGCAGCTTCTTAAGAGTCGAGATGAATGTATCATTAATGCCTTAAACTTCTTGGTTGGATCACTTGCTCATAGAGCTGTTTTCCATCTGTTAAATCCCTCTCACGAAGTAAAATGCCAGTTTCCCCATAGCACTAAGGCAAAGAAAGCCTGGTGCTGTGAGGTTTGAAGCGTTAGCTACAAGTACATGTTCAGTATGGGAAGCCTCAAACAAGTTCAGTAACTTGCAGCCTAAACTGAAATTTCACGAGCAACTGAGACAATATAATGGCTTACTGCGGTTGAGAGGAGGGCTTACTTTACCTCCAGTTGTGTTACTGCGTCCTTGTTTCTGGTGCAACTCGCATCTGATAGAAAATGATTCCCCTGACTATTTTTTTCCCCCTGTTAGGTGGTTTAATTTTAGTTCGTGGAGCAGTCTGCTGAGGCCACAGCCAGTATGAATTGAACAGTGGTAGCACGTGTTTGGGAAGCGGGGTCATGGGCTGTGAGAACTGCTCACCCCATCTCATGAAACTGCCAGCCACCAAGAGAGGTTTATGCAGCGCCGGATTTCCATGTTTCCATTCCCTCCCCAAAGGGTGACAATGAGAAGAGTCCTGTTGTTATAGGAAGCTACATTTGTGTGCAAAGCAGTGTCACTTAATTGAGGGTTGGATGAGACTTGATGAGCCACCCCGATATACATGAGCTGCAGCTTGTTCCATCGAGCATTTTTGAGGACTTCCCCTCTGGTTTGCACAATCACTCTGGTGCCCGAATTCTAGGCTACAGTGCAGAGAGGCCCAGGAGACCACGGTTATTACAAGGAATTAAAGGTTAGAGGCCAAAGGAAGGTGGGAAGAGAGTATTTTCTGCCTGGGGATTTGAACATCATCTTGCTTGTGGTTTCTCATTTACCCTCTTTCTTCTGTTTATCAGGAACTTCTATTTGGAACTCTTGAACTTTTTAAAAACTTAGTTTTGGGGGTATTTTAAGTGTGAGAATTTTAATGTGTCAGAAAATAAAGATTGCTGCCTTTGTAATCTGAGCGGATCTGGTAGTTAAAGGTGTGGAATAGCAGGGAGGGTATGGGTGCTGGGGGTAATGCAGCACTGTCTCTATATCTGTCTGCAACCACTTGCCTCCTTAGTTACATGTTCATGTGCAGGTAACAGGCCTTCAGAAGTGAAAGGTGGCCTGTGCAGCTGGCTGTTGAGTGACTCTGCAAGAAATTTGGATAAAACTCTAGAATAATATTTGCTTATACCAAGACAAACTGAGGCTGCTCAAGTCCCTTCCCACCAGAATATCTGGTTAGTTCTTCTCAAATATTGCTACCAATTTAGCTGTATGGCAGCTGGCAATATAACTTAAGTAGCACCAGCCTATGGGAATAGGAAACAATAGGCATAACTGAAAAATTCTGTATATACCTGGTTAAAAAAAGTAATTTCTGTGTCCCCTTAGACATGTGACCATATGTGCAAGGAAAAGAAACTTGCTAATAAGTAGGGCCTGGTGGAGGTCTCGTGTGCTGTAGTGCTTATTTTTACCCCTTGTGCTGCACCTCTGTGGAAAGGTTGGCATGAATAGCCAGGTGGATTGGCCTGTCAACTGCTCTGTAAGCAATGCTGTCTGCCACCACCTTCCACCTCAAATGTGATGTTGTAGGAGAAGGTGTAACACTCGCTGTCTGAAGTTTCAGCAGCAGACGCAAAGAATATCGTTAGCCTCGCTGGAGATCAGCAGCTGGCTGAGCACATGCAACAAGTGCTGGGTTGGGGAATGCTTTGTGAGACTCTCAAAGCTACATGCTCTTCTATGTGCTTGGCACTCCTAGGAGAATACAGCTCCCTTGGCAAGGTTTTGCAGCTGCTAGGCAGGCTTAACCTACATCTCTGCTCTCTGCTGCTGTCCTGCTGTAAAGGACACACCTCGTGGAGCACCTCGGCTTAGTTTCCCTGTGCATCACTGGTGCAGTTTCTGCTGCGGTTAAGGCTGGAACTGGACTAACAAGACATCCCCCTCTGACACGTGCTGTACATGTATGGGTGACCGTTCCCGGCGTCCTAATTCCCCTATGCGCCATCCTTTCCATTTCGCTGTCCTGAGTACTGCGCGTACAGCCCCCCCGTCCCCCTGCTCTCACGGAGCCCGCAGAGGGGGTCCTGGCCCTGTCAGTGACTGAGTGGGGTCCAGCCCCGGTCAGTGGAGAGGTGCTCTGACGCCCTTTTGACACACCGGCCCGGCAGGAGACACAAGCGGGAGCTGCCGGGCACTGCCTCCCTGGCTGCCGGAGCGGGGCGGGGGCGGCTCTCCGTGCTCCCCCCATCGACCCTCTCGCCCTGCTTCTGTGCGGCCGAGCGCCTGCCTCGGCCCAGGCGGGCGGGGCGGCCC